AGCCTAGTGTCATTTTCTGCAAGAAAAGGCTTGCACCTCAATGCGTATAATACGGTATTGATATGATATGAAGGCCATCATTTACATATTGAGATAGGGCATTCCATTGATTGGTGACAGAAAAAACAAAAGAAATTATAGCAATAAAAACTGCTTTATGGCAGTTTTCTAAAAAAGGTTATTGTGTTCTAGTCCATGGACCCCGTCTAAAAAGTAAGAAATTAACGAACTGTGATAGCCGAAAATTAAAATTTCACACAAAACCTCACAATAATCACACACAGAATGAAAAGATACATGTAGAAAACCTTTTCCCCACGTGATCCTCTTTCCTATGCATGCATGACATGCATGTTGCCAATTGTTGGTGCAGTACAAGTTTAGTGTTGAAAGCAGCATTTCAACTGTTGTGATTATTGTGAGGTTTTGTGTGAAATTTTAATTTTCGGCTATCACAGTTCGTTAATTTCTTACTTTTTAGACGGGGTCCATGGACTAGAACACAATAACCTTTTTTAGAAAACTGCCATAAAGCAGTTTTTATTGCTATAATATATAGAGTACTCGCCTCGTCTCTGTGCTGCATGTTGAGGGAAAGTCCCAGCTGGAAGGCCTACAACACGACATGCGTGCTCTTGAGCTTGACATCAAGATGCACTTGATCCGATCTAGATCAACGGGTGATCCATGTAAGTGCAGGAGCGCTTGATCAAGGTGACTCGGAACAACTGCTGAACCGTGATCTACGAGACCTGGCATTCTTGTGTCACGAGGCACGTGATTTCATCATTCCTCTTGCAGTAAAATCCAAAAACTACACGCAAAAATTCAGTCACTTTTGCATCAACTGTTGCAACGAAAAATGTTGGTGGCGCAAGGAGAAGCTTGTCGTTTGGAGTGACAAGTGATCACCGCTGCTTTTCCTTGTCAGAGTCAACAATACACTTTGTTCTGCAGCGTTGGGAGTGGTGTTGGAGTAGAAATTGCTGACTAGACGTCGCGGAGGGGCGAGCTTTCCTGCGCAGGTATGAGTTTGGACGTATTTCAGAATGGTCGAGTGGAAAAATTCAAAATTGTTTATTTCAAGAAAACCCCAAAAGGATGATGGGGGACATGTCCTCAGTGCTAGAAGAGGTGTTCTACTATCTGCTGGTGTATAGTGTTTGCTAATTGAGGACGTAGCTCGCTGTTTTATCAGCGCTTGTAATTTGGCTATTTTCAAGACGATCATTTGTGGCGTCAAGGGATGATTGCCCTCGTCTTCTGGAATGCTGGCGTGGCTAAGTAGTGCTGCCCCAAGAACTCTTCTAAGGTGAGGTAATGATGGCTTGATGGAGTTTTGTTCGTAGCTTGTTCTTGCACGCTGTGCCGTGGCTCGTTTGTTGACCCATAAATCGCGCCAATATTGGGCCAATATTGAGGGGTATACCAATTTCATGGTTCCCTTCAAAGGATTTTGTGCGGGCTTTGGAATGTCGATCTACACCCCAAAGCAAACCTACCTGCAAAATTTGAGCGAAATCTGAGAGATCGACTTGCACATATGTTCTGGTTTTCTCAGACATGCTCTCTTAAAAAGCTTACGTGGAGATAAAAATGTAATCAACGCAATAAATAGAGTAAGCTGAGCACTCAGTACAAACACCATTAGCAAAACTTGTTTTCATGTAAATAACTAAGCATGTTCCTAAACGTTTTCGTCGCCATCTCATCAGAGGATTACTGGCAAATCAAAACTAGCTCTAAACTCATTATATATACGCACAATGCAAGTAATAATTTAGACACTACCTAGCGCGAGAAAATGAGAGCTGAAAGAAACATTACATCAATCAACGATATCAGGTGACAACAGATGCGATAAATTCACCACTAGAAAGTAACCACAAACGAGAACTATTGAACTAAATTCAGAAACAATTTCAACGTAAACAAATTCTTTTTCTATAATAGAGTCACTCCCTCCACCAGCGGAGGTGGATGTGGCTTTGGCGACGCCACGTGTGTTGCATGCAGACACGTTTGCATCAGCATCGCTTGCTGCATCACCGGCAGAGACGACAACAATACCTACCTCAATATCAACGAGACCCAGAAGAACAACTGCTAATTACACCATGACCTATTTCAGTACGGAAGTACCGAGCCAACGGAATACACAACAGGAACGTGAGACGAGGGATGGGAGGAGACGGGCCCTGATTGCTCCGAGGCAGGAAGTCGTTGAGGAGGATTCGGCCAGTGAGTCCAGTGATTCCGGTGAGTGTGAGAGCGAGAATGATCGTGTGAGTAAGAGTGGGTGCGAGCGTGTGTTTTCTAGTAGGAAGTCATCAGTGTATAAGCATCTTGCATCTCGTCCTGATTGCTGTAAGGTTTATTCTGATTCTTCTTTTTCTGTTCTGTGCCGTGCTCGTCATGGTTATAAGTTGCAGTTGAGTGTGTTAGAAGCCGTTTGTCAACGTATTCATAAGCCTAATCTGTGTGTCCAGAAGGACAGCATTATTCGTTTGAAATTGTTTTAGTAGCAACTTGTTCTGTCTGTTTGGCTCTGGTTGGCCATGGTGTCATATCTTGTGTCACAGTATACTAGTAGTCCTTACAAGTTCGTTAAGTGCTTTCGCAGTTTTTCCTGTTATTACCTTAGTGCTAGGATTATCATTTTCATAGGTGTTGTTTCTTCTCACTCCATTTCTCTTTATTAGTATCTTTCTGGATTGTTTTTCATTAGTACAACGTAGCTTCCTGAGGAGTGTTGTGCGAAAACTAGTTCGAAGTACAATTTTTTGTTCATCATTTCTTCCATATCACATTTTTTCTTTCTTACATGTTCTTCACTGCCTTCGTATACACTCGTTTTTTGAATACAATAAAAGCCTTTGTGAAAATGTCGGTTCAGCTCGTTCTGTTGATCGCAATTCTATAATAATAATAAAAATATTTTTTTTTCTTGTCACTATTTTTTTGTCACTTATTGGATTTGCATGCTGTTTTCTTGATTCTTCACATCTATTTTTTCGTGTCACTTCTACACATAATTGGAGTGATATATTTCTGAACTTCTTTTCCTTATAGTTGTAGTCTTTTAGCTTATGTTTGAAGCTGCTGAATGGGAAAGTCTTGCGTGGCGGCGGCATATACATTGCCTCAAACTGTTTTACCATTTCACCCGCCAATACCCGGAAACCCTCAATAATCTCAACATAGTTCTATCCAAGAGTGCACGACGTCCCCACTTTTACCTCCTGCCCACTCACACTGGTCCCTGTTTCCGATCCACTCTACTACATTCCATGATCACCACGTGGAACTCCCTGCCTACCGAGATTAGGATATCTGAAACCCGTGGTGTATTTAGCCGGCACGTTAAGTCCCATTTCCACAGGTATAGATTCCATCCTCGAGGTTTTCTCACTTCCTGATTACCCCCCCTTCTTTACCAGTACCCTTTTCGCTTGCTTCTACTCAGACTTCTTATTTAACCTCTTCACATTAATCTTTTTTTATCGTAATATTTTCTTTCTTTTAAGAATTGCACCCTATTGCACACGCATTGTACACGTATATTTATTCTCGGAGACCCCCTTGATTTAGGCTTCGGCCTTTGGGGAATCCCTCAAATAATAATAATAATAATTTCCATCATTCCCTGTAGTATTTTGACAAGAAGGGAACGAAAGTGTTCAATACTTTGACACATGTCCTAATTGGCTGGTGGTGACTCTTGCGTAGATGCATGCGTAGATAATACATTTTTTGTAATATTCTGCCTCCGTCCTACTTTCAAATAATAATAATAATAATAATAATCTAAGTGGAGATAAAAGTTTAATAATAGCTATGAAAAGTATGAATGCCGCAGACATCACCACGCAACATGACAATTTGTTCAAGGTTTGGTTTTGTGTGTTTCCAAAATCGATTTTCACACTCCGATCATCAGTGGAAATACGGAACTAAAGAGATCAAAGGAAAAACAAACACTTTCTCTTTATTTTAGTTCTCACTTTTTGTAATACTTACCACAAGTTACCCGTCATGTGTCACACTTCTTTGGATTTTTAACCTTTGTTTTTCCCTTGATCTCTTTAGTTCCGTATTTCCACTGATGATCGGAGCGTGAAAATCGATTTTGGAAATACACAAAACCGAACCTTGAACAAATTGTCATGTTGCGTGGTGATGTCTGCGGCATTCATACTTTTCATAGCTATTAATAATGATAATGAATGCTGTCTTTTGGGGTTTGATGTAACATGGATACCGTCTTCCTTATCAACTACATGTACATGTATGAGTGGTAAGGATCTTCCATACAAAACCTCTTTGAACATACAAAGTGAGATTTGAACTAGTGGTGTGAGCGCGGGGGGGGGGCAATGCACAACATTTTATCCGCGTACTCAAAGAGTACATAAACACGCTAGGCGCACAAAGACTAAGGCTGTGTTTACATGAGGCGTTTCAACCCGGGTTGAGTTCGACCCGGGTCAGATTTCAACCCGCCATGTGCACAAAATGAATGGCGCGTTTACATGACGCATTGCGCTTGACCCGGGTTGAAATTTCGCCCCGGGTTGATTTCAACCCTCCCCTTGGGGGTTGAAATGAACCCGTGTCAAGAAAATCGTGCAATCGTACTTCTGTGCGTATCTCGCGCCAGGTTTGAACAGCACTGCAGATGCAAATTTCGCGCGAACGGATTCACGTGACCATGCAGGACTGTAGAAGTGGACTTTTGGCGGCATACCGGTATCAGTATTTGACCCGGGTAAACTGTCTTCATGTAAACGCTCACATCTTTTGTCTATCGTACAGACTTTCAACCCGGGCTGCACTCGACCCGGGTTGAAATTTCTCATGTAAACACAGCCTAAAATGTAATAATGTCACCTGGTGGTGACAGTCTAATTTTTCTTCAGACTTTCCCGTTTGTGTCTTTGCCTCAAACCAGTGAATAATCATAATGTTGTCTGTTTAATTAAACTGTTGATACCACTTACGGACGTTATGCGGAGGAGTTCCTGTAACGAATAAAAACAGAATACACAAGAGACATTGGAAGCTTTGTCACAACTCTGAGTTTCACGTATTACTACGACCAAGAGTATATAACCCCCCAAGAGTGTGCAACTCTGCATATGGGGTCTCGGACGGCGAAAACTTTCAACCCGGGCTGAACTCGACCCGGGTTGAAATTTCTCATGTAAACACAGCCTAAAATGTAATAATGTCACCTGGTGGTGACAGTCAAATTTTCTTCAGACTTTCCCGTTTGTGTCTTTGCCTCAAACCAGTGAATAATCATAATGTTGGTCTGTTTAATTAAACTGTTGATACCACTTACGGACGTTACGCGGAAGAGTTCCTGTAACAAAGAAAAACAGAATACACAAGAGACATTGGAAGCTTTGTCACAACTCTGAGTTTCACGTATTACTACGACCAAGATTTGCATACCGTAATGTCGCGTGCATTAGCCGGGGCTTATATGCCTATAAGCCGGTGATGGAGTCAGGCTTGTACACAAGACAGGCTTATACACGAGACAGGCTTATATGACAAGCACCACTCAATGACCAGGCTTTCTTGCCGTTTCCATCGCCGCACCATACTCTCGTCGATGCTGTGCTTTCTAGAAGCAGCAGTGACAGAAGTCGATTTTGCAGCTATCACTACCGCCAGCTTGAATGTCGCTGAGTATTTTTTCCGAAGTCCTTTTGTTTTCGGCATTTCGACGAGCAGACTTGGTTGAGATGAGTTCTATCTACGGGTAGACTGCAACAAACACAAGTGAAAAGTTCTAGGAGCGCCGAAACAACTTCAAACAAGCAACTTGCCAAGGGACAAGACGGAAAATGCCATGGGAAAGGTAAGTTTGAAGCTTGAAGTTGAAGAGTGCTGCATGGCGTCGAGCGCAGCTGGTGTTGATTTCCGCATCTTCCCACGTTTTCCGCGTGTGCAAGTGTACGGTACCATGCAAACATGAACATGTAAAAGGCGCGCTCACCAGTCTTGCGTAGTAGCCCGGCTTACGCACGCGACACGTGGCGCGTCTCGTGTACTGGCCCGGCTTATGCATGCGACAGGCTTGTACGCGAAAAGCTGTTGCAGATTTCATGCTTCTACACGAGACAGGCTTATGCACAAATCCGGCTTATGCACGCGACATTACGGTACGTGCAGTGAGTTTCTGTCAGAAAGTGCTTTTTTTAGTACTCCGTTGCTCGCTAAAAATGGGCTGGAAACGTACAACTGCGACACTGCACCACGTGATGTGAGTTTTCGCCGTCGGCGTACCCCATAGAAAGGGTATCAGGATTTGCACACTCTGGGGGGGGGGGGGGTTATATACTCTTGCTACGACCATCAGGCAACTGATGGCTCTGAAACGGGCAGCCTGAACATAAGGGGGAGCAAGGTGGGAAATTCTGAAGGGTATCACAGCGCAAGAGTCAGGAGAAAAATCGATTTCGTGTCTGCGAGGCATGCTTACCTACTGAGGGCCTCAAAAAGTAGGCTTCTAACACTGCGCATCTACTGCTTACACAGCTGCATAATGCCGTTTATTATTATTATTTTTAATTTTTACTATAATTATTTTTTTCGGCAACGCAGATGATGATGATGATGAAAATACGGATAGTACAGTAAAACCTGGTTTAAGCGACCACCCCACGGTGCAAGCAAAAGCGGTCGTTAAAGTCAGGTGGTCTTTAGAACCAGGTCCCACAGTGTCTGTGTAGAACTGTCCGTGCATGGAAAAACGGTCGTTAAGAGCAGGTGGTTGCCAAACCCAGAGGTCGCTTACACCAGCTTTTACTGTACTTGAACTCACAGACAGAAACTATCGACTTCACACCGAGTAGCAAGTGACAGTAGCAGGGCAAGTACATGTACAGTTGCGCTCACTGAAATCCAACCCAAAGTGCAAAGCTGACGCCCTGGACCAGTTCCGACTACATCATTGTATTTGTAAATGTGTACGTCCAGTCACATTCGTACCACTTCCAGGGCCAGGTCAAGGGCCGTGCAAGTTGAGGGCGCCAAATATGCACTCCGGGTCGGATTTCATCGAGCGCAACTGTACTAGTATCAGCCAGTATGCGACTGAAGCATTGTGAACCAGGGGGAGGGGATGGTTGCGTCCTAACTGTCATCGAGTGGCTATGCCTGTTGATGGACTTTCTACAAGACAATGCGTGAGGACAACAGCTCACTGACGACTCCAGAGCAGATTCGAGAAGTCAGGAGTCTGACTTGCATTCCCCTAGTTCCAGCGCTGGGAGGTGACTCTCTCAGGCTGGTGTACAGGGGAAGAGTGTGGGTCAGTGCAAGTAATGTGTAAGTCGAGGTTTGCCAGCCGTCCTGTGTGTGTGTGTGTGTGTGTGTGTGTGTGTGTGAGTTTCTGTGTGTGTGTGTGTGTGTGCGTGTGTGTGTGTGTGTGTGTTTGTGTGTGTGTGTGTGTGTGTGTGTGTGTGTGTCTGTGTGTGTCTGTCATAAATCCAGAAATTTAGCCGTGAAAGGTACCCTTGTAGAAAAAGTCGAAAGGTTCTTACAATGAGAAGACGGACACCCTTCTAGGGTGTGGAAGTATCTACCTCATGCAGCCATGCAATTAGGAAGAATGACAGATTTGTCCACAGAACTTACCACGTGGGAGAACTTGAGATCCGCCAACAAGGGGGTTATCTGTAAAAGAAAAAGGAGCGAAATCAAGAATTTCCACTATGAAGATGAGAATCATCAATATTATTACATTGTAAAGTCAAAAACGAAGAAGGACAAAATGTTACGAGTTATGAATAACTGTCCACCAACTTGTTGCCGTGATGCGTAGCTCGTGCTCTTCTTCATTGCGCTTTCCTTCCCCTCTTGGAACTTTCCGAACCTGAGCCTTCCAAGTTGGAAGGTTGTTGGTTTGCGCCTTGAAGAAGTGTTGGAGCTAGGTGTCAGGTCGCCGAATGTCTCAGTACTCCTTGTCGGTTTTGTGCCATTTTGTCACACTCGCTGACTGTATAAGATCTGGTTATGTTGGTGGACAGTTGTCGTCATAACTCGTAACATTTGTCCGTCTTCTTTTTTCGCCAGAATTTAATTGGCTCGCCAATAATTAGTCAATTTCCAAAATAATTATTAGCAATCGGCTGCCAAGAAAATGCAGGAAGTGGAAGGAAATTCGTAAATTTGATCCCACAGAAGTGCTTGTTTAGCTGGTTCATTGCTGTGGTGAAGGTCGCAGAAAATTAATGCCACGGCCGTCGAGACTGGGTTTCAGGCCTTATCCTATGATGTATTATTATTATTATTATTATTATTATTTGGGTGGTAGTTGGTGTGTGTAATGGCTACCAAGGGTAGCAGTGAGTCGGCTGTGAGAGCGCGAGGAAGAGTTCTTTACATTAATTATTATTATTATTAAAAATAGAAAGGAAAAGGACATATGGAAACGAGTTAAGAGTAACTCTCCACCACTGTAACTAGATACTATATACAGTCAGAAAGCCCAACAACTAGGCACAAAACTGACAGAGTACTGAGACATTCGACGTCCTGACACCTAGCTTCAACACATCTCCGTAGCGCTAACCGACAGCCTTCCAACTTGGAAGGTTCAAGGTTATGGAAAGACCAAAGAGGGGAAGGCAAGCGCAACGAAAACGAGCACAAGCTACAGTCCCAACGGAACAAAGAATGTCGATTGTTACTGGACGATGACGAGACCAGTAGGCGATTTGACAAAGCGGTCTAACTACAATTCGAAGCAGCAAAGCAGCACACCACCCAACTTGGGTGGGTCAAAAATATCAAAGATAAGTTAAGAAGGGGGAAGCTTTGCGAGAACGAATTGTACAAGCCGAAATCAAAACTCCTACAGTACTCCTCATGCATGACATTGTGATGGACTGGTTGACTACAAAACAAGTTTAACTTTTACTCGTTTCCATATGTCTTTCCTTTTCCTTTCCACTTTTATTTTTCTTTTCTTATTTTGTTAGGGATTTCCCAACAGGCAATATGTAGACATCTTTAGTAGCCAGACCTTTTTTGTGGGTACGACTCCCCGTTTTTTTATAAATGTCGCACTCGGAACAGCCGTAACGAACTCTAAAATAATAATATTTAGCGCAAAGTAAAGAGAAGGAAAATAATAACCGGTCAAGCGCTAAATACAAACAGAAGAAAAAGAAATCATAAGCCAATACGCGCTAAACTGCGCTTAAACTATAATGAACATACAAAATGCACGAGGTGGTTTACTTTTTCTCTTTCCAGGCAGTTCACTTTCTTTCACCTCCGCTAGTGCATTCCAGAAACTGACCGTGGTTGGTCCCATTGGGGAGGGATACCAGTGTCATCAGTATGTATGTCACATGTTGGTGTGAGCTGCATTTGGATTGAAAAAAAAACTTATCATCGTCTTCTAGGTTCGGCCTGTTCCCATAGCTCAGATGGTTAGAGCATAGGTCATTACAAGCAAGGTCCCGGGTTCGAGTCTTGGTCTTTTTCTTTTTAGCCCTGCTGAGAGGCAGAAGAATCCGCAACGTGCATTTCGAGCTCGTGACCTGGCATGAGAGAAACAAGGATATATCAAATGGGATTTTCGGTCTCCGACCCCTTGGTTTTGGGTCAGATCTACTCACCTCCATTGCTGAGGAAGCTTGTGCATATTAAACAGCACCATAATATTACAGACAGTGCTCTTGAGCACCATTGTGGATAACAACTGACAGAGAAATTCAGTTTCCAGCACGCCAAACCTCCCGCGAACACCGAATGCCAGGCTGAGTTAGTGTGGCTCATGGATACGTATATGCGGTGATGGAGACTGGTCATCTGCATTGATGTTACCTCCAAGCTCGCGGTGGGCGCAACAGTTTTTCTTTGCAAAAGGCAATCTTAGCCATGGAGAAAATGTAGCAATCTCAGTAAAATTTGTAAATTAGCCAAACCAATCGAATGTATTTTGATTAATAATGCCTGTTCTCTTCCTACACGAAACCCCCTGGTCACTAAAAATGTCAGTCATCAATATTCCAGTACTGAACCAACCTATTTTTAGTCATGTATTTTTCATTTGCGCTTCTCTATTTGTGGGTTATACAGGTCTACTCTCCATATAACGTAATCTCTGGGACCACGCGAAAATTATGCTATATCGAGAGTTATGTTATGTAGAAACCCGTGTGTAAAATACAATATGTACCTCAAAATGAAGGCGGGCTCACCCATGCAAACATGCACGCACTGTACCACCATCGACATCAGCTTCTGTGAATCCCGCTTAAAGCGCTTAAAAAGCGGGATTCAGAGAAGCTTTTTTGTGATGCGACACGCGATGCGATTGGCGCGAAACCGGGAAAACCCCAAATCGCAGCCATGTCGCACCCCACGCAACTGCCGCAACTGGCCCATCGCAGGCCATCGCAGAAGTTGAGCTTGGCTCAACTTTTGCGATGCGATGCGATGCGACAAGCGATTTGGCATACGATTTTGACCTTTTCTACAGCAAAGTTGTACAAAGGTTCAAGAGTTGCCTATAATTTTCTTTTTTTTCTCTATCACATGTATCATCTTTCCGTTTTTCCTTCCTCTATATAAATGTACCCCCCTCCCCTCCCCCCTGTGCCTACTCCTCCCCAGTTTTTGGTGCTCTGAAGTGTCGCTGAAGCCGAGACCTCAGGTCGGCGGAGATGCTCCAGTTTCACCACCACAGTTGCGTCTGCAACCACCTCTACCATGCAGTATTCTGTTCTCGAGGTTCGTGGTTTCTCGTAAAAAATAAATAAATAAAAAATAAAATAAATTTGTACAAGTTGTATCAAACCGCGCGAATATCATGGCGTAGCCAAATCAGCAAGATGTTGTCGCATCACTGACTTCTTCTGTGAGTGGTATTTCGCGAGTTCGCATCGCACGCATCCGTCGCAGATCGCGTCGCATCGCGTGTCGCATCGCAAAAAAGCTTCTGTGAATCCCGCTTAAGGCTGTGTTTACATGAGGCGTTTCAACCCGGGTTGAGTTCGACCCGGGTCAGATTTCAACCCGCCATGTGCACAAAATGAATGGCGCGTTTACATGACGCATTGCGCTTGACCCGGGTGGAAATTTCGCCCCGGGTTGATTTCAACCCTCCCCTTGGGGGTTGAAATGAACCCGGGTCAAGAAAATCGTGCAATCGTACTTCTGTGCGTATCTCGCGCCAGGTTTGAACAGCACTGCAGATGCAAATTTCGCGCGAACGGATTCACGTGACCATGCAGGACTGTAGAAGTGGACTTTTGGCGGCATACCGGTATCAGTACTTGACCCGGGTAAACTGTCTTCATGTAAACGCTCACCTCTTTTGTCTATCGTACAGACTTTCAACCCGGGCTGAACTCGACCCGGGTTGAAATTTCTCATGTAAACACAGCCTAAAATGTAATAATGTCACCTGGTGGTGACAGTCAAATTTTTCTTCAGACTTTCCCGTTTGTGTCTTTGTCTCAAACCAGTGAATAATCATAATGTTGTCTGTTTAATTAAACTGTTGATACCACTTACGGACGTTTTGCGGAGGAGTTCCTGTAACGAATAAAAACAGAATACACAAGAGACATTGGAAGCTTTGTCACGTATTACTACGACCAAGAGTATATAATATAACCCCCCAAGAGTGTGCAACTCTGCATATGGGGTCTCGGACGGCGAAAACTCACATCACGTGTCTCTGATACCTTTGTACTACGTACAAACGTAGGATAGCGTGCGCCCAATCCGAAAATCTGCCGTGATCATGCTGGGGATTTGCATACGTGCAGTGAGTTTCTGTCAGAGAGTGCTTTTTTAGTACTCTGCTGCTCGCTAAAAATAGGCTGGAAACGTACAACTGCGACACTGCACCACGTGATGTGAGTTTTCGCCGGCGGCGTACCCCATAGAAAGGGTATCAGGAGTTGCACACTCTGGGGGGGGGGGGGGGGGGGGTTATATACTCTTGCTACGACCATCAGGCACCTGATGGCTCTGAAACGGGCAGCCTGAACATAAGGGGGAGCAAGATGGGAAATTCTGAGGGGTATCATAGCACAAGAGTCAGGAGAAAAATCGATTTCGTGCCTGCGAGGCATGCTTACCTACTGAGGGCCTCAAAAAGTAGGCTTCTAACTTCCAAGACACTAGTGGCATTTAGCCGAAGCAAAATACGGATCTGACAGAGATGCCTGGCAGTCACACTGTGCATCTACTGCTTACACAGCTGCATAATGCCGTTTATTATTATTATTTTTAATTTTTACTATAATTATTTTTTTCGGCAACGCAGATGATGATGATGATGAAAATACGGATAGTACAGTAAAACCTGGTTTCAGAGACCACCCCACGGTGCAAGCAAAAGCGGTCGTTAAAGCCAGGTGGTCTTTAGAACCAGGTCCCACAGTGTCTGTGTAGAACTGTCCGTGCATGGAAAAACGGTCGTTAAGAGCAGGTGGTTGCCAAACCCAGAGGTCGCTTACACCAGGTTTTACTGTACTTGAACTCACAGACAGAAACTAGGGAGGTTCCGGAGTACGATTTTTCGTGCCAAAATCCGTAGAGGCGCTACGGATTTTTTATACGTCGTTTTCGAGCAGTGAAAAGTTCCGGGGTACGGAACTTATGTGTTTGCCGTCATTGCCTAGGTTACGATCGCAAACACGTCACATTCCTGCGTTATGCCTTTTTATTTTGAAAATTTGTACCGAAATCAAAACTTCCCGCGGAAAATCCATGTTTCTCGTACCAAATTTGTACGCGAAAAATCTTTCTGCACCCGATGACGCAAAATCTCCAAACGAAACATGGTTCGTGTGAAAGCCAGTCCACACGGATTCTCCGTGCCGAAAAATCGTATGGAGCACTCTTGGAAAAAATCCGTAGCGCCCACACGGATTTTGACACGGAAAATCGTACCCCGGAACCTCTCTACTATCGACTTCACACCGAGTAGCAAGTGACAGTAGCAGGGCAAGTACAGTTGTGGCAAGTGAAATCCGACACTTGGCATAAGGGACTGCACCGTGCATCCTGCAGCCTCTGCAGCCCTGCATACGTACAGTACATGTGCTGCATACAACTTTATCTGTCCGATGACAGAATTCGTACTCATCACAGTCAAGGTTCAAAAGGTGCTGGCAAAAATGAATGGGAATTGGATACCAATACTCCTTATGTGTACCATGTTTGTGAACTGTGTGTATCTAAGCTGTGACCTTTCGTCCTGTTTGGGATGCATACGGCTCTATAGTACAAATTAGGTGCAGTGCATTACATCATTGATGTCCATTTGAGGCGCTGTCCCCTATGGCAAGTGTCGGATTTCACTTGCCACAACTGTACATGTACAGTTGCGCTCACTGAAATCCGACCCAAAGTGCAAAGCTGACGCCCTGGACCAGTTCCGATTACATCATTGTATTTGTACATGTGTACGTCCAGCCGCATTCGTACCACTTCCAGGGCCAGGTCAAGGGCCGTGCAAGTTGAGGGCGCCGAATATGCACTCCGGGTCGGATTTCATCGAGCGCAACTGTACTAGTAGGGACCTTTCGCATTTGCTACGAAACGAATGCGAAATGAAAGTTTGATTCGGCTCGTAATCGTTTCGTTGAAAACAGATTTCAGGTTTCGCGAGTCGTCATGCAAATTTGCATGGCAACTACAAATACGGCCGCGGGCGCCGGTAGTTTGGCGTACGGGTTTTTACACGCACACGTGCACGGATCATGGAATCAAGGGAAAAATGTGTACCTTGCAAAACATGTGTACCTATCCAAATAAATGTGTACCTGACGGATTCGGAGCGTGCCACGAATGAAGAGGCTTCCATTCGTGAAAACGAGTTCTCCGCAGGGACTCTGACGAATCCTCGAACCCAGGTGACGAATCAGCATTCGTTTCGTATCCGTACGCGGGGTGCGAAAGGTCCCTAGTATCAGCCTGTATGCGACTGAAGCATTGTGAACCAGGGGGAGGGGATGGTTGCGTCCTAACTGTCATCGAGTGGCCATGCCTGTTGAGGGACTTTCTACAAGACAATGCGTGAGGACAACAGCTCACTGACGACTCCAGAATAGATTCGAGAAGTCAGGAGTCTGACTTGCATTCCCCTAGTTCCAGCGCTGGAGGTGACTCTCTCAGCCTGGTGTACAGGGGAAGAGTGTGGGTCAGTGCAAGTAATGTGTATGTCGAGGTGTGCCCGCCGTCCTCTGTGCGTGTGTATGTGTGTGTGTGTGTGTGTGTGTGTGTGTGAGTTTCTGTGTGTGTGTGTGTGTGTGTGTGTGTGTGTGTGTGTGTGTGTGTGTGTGTGTGTGTGTGTGTGTGTGTGTGTGTGTGTGTGTGTGTGTGTGTGTGTGTGTGTGTGTGAGTGTGTGTGTGTGTGTCAGTGGCGGATCCAGGGGGGGGGGGGTTCCGGGGGTTCCGTGGAACCCCCTAAATTTTGCAAAATGTACTACGGAAAAAAATCAATATCAAGAGTACGCTCTCGAGTGTAGGGACTAGAGTAGTACATGGTGCCGTGGGTGCACGAGCGAGAGTTTTTCAACTACTTGTAATTACTTTCTTCTGTAATCTTGTCACTGAGTTTGTAGTTTTCGCTTTCTAGAGAAGGAGAAACTGTTGCTGATTTTTGCTTGGCCATTGCTGTGTCTCTGCAGTGTCGTCTCGTTCGGCTTTACAGTCATGTAGTCGCCGGCCAAGAAACAATGTCATTTCGATGGGTGTCTCTTTTATTTTTTATCGCGGCGATCACTGATTTCTTTTGGTTCTGAGACCAATCAACTGTGGGCTCGCCTCCTTGTCCAGCGACACGCGAAAATCAGAACTCCTATCTCTCAGGTGCTGGTGAACACTCAGCAGGAAAACATTGCACGATGGCTTGACGGCGAAGGGTAAACTTCTTGAAGACAAGTACACAAATTTATTTGAACTCCCAATCTTGCATGAGCCCAGGCGCGCTAGGCGCTACATGTAGGCCCAGTCGAGTCAAAACGATGTTGTAACACACGAAAAGTGCAGGTGACTCGTGCGACTTTTGGTCCTCATCGTCGTTGTGCTCTTTGATGTGGGCTAGCTGGCAACTGACTATCCATGTACATGTAGACTACTACAGTACATGATTCAATCACTGTACTGGTATGGTGTCATGTAGCCAACTACAAATCACTTGTCTTTCCTAGTGTAGACCTAGTACATAATCTACCTACAAGTAGTGCCTATGCTATGACCTTTTGATGCACAGCTTTCAGTTTGCACTTTCAGCCACCTGTCATGTCATGTCAGCTATCTTCATAGAACCACACTCTCCCATATTTGCTGGATTGCTCCTATGTAGAGTCTACATAGTACATGATGACCAAGCAGGCCGTGACAACAAGTCACATAATCGCTTTCTCACTCACTCCATATAATTATATCGCGCTACATATTGCATAACAATTGGTACGCTGGACTCGTAACATTCATGGTATATAGCAGCACCGGCAGATTCTAAAAATGAATTCAATTCGTGAAACACCGTTGACGTCTGGCTTGTCCGAAATGTCCAAACGCCCACCAAAGCGGAAAGCTTGCAGTCAGCTTTCCCTGGACCAGTTTTTGTTGGGGAGAAACGATGTCCCACATGATGACGCTGAGGCTGCTAGTGAAGTTGGAACTTCGTGCAGTTCAAGCTCCTCGGAAGAGGATGGCTGCGACGTGCAAGCAGTTTTGGTAACTCCACCTTCGGCAGCAGAAGTGAATGCTTGTTCGTCCGCAGAAGGTGAGAGCTGCAGTGCTGCGCCAGCAATGTGCTACAATGATGTTGGGAAGATTGTTGGGAATATGCTGTTGCCTTTGTCAAGTGAGCGTGTTGGTGTCTGTCATAAATCCAGAAATTTAGCCGTGAAAGGTACCCTTGTAGAAAAAGTCGAAAGGTTCTTACAATGAGTAGACGGACACCCTGCTAGGGTGTGGAAGTATTTACCTCATGCAGCCATGCAATTAGGAAGAATGACAGAGTTGTCCACAGAACTTACCACTTGGGAGAACTTGATATCCACCAACAAGGGTGATATCTGTAAAAGAAAAAAGAGCGAAATCAAGAATTTCCACTGTGAAGATGAGAATCATCAATAATTACATTGTAAAGTCAAAAACGAAGAAGGACAAAATGTTACAAGTTATGACTAACTGTCCACCAACTTTTTGCCGTGATGCGTAGCTCGTGCTCTTCTTCATTGCGCTTTCCTTCCCCTCTTGGAACTTTCCGAACCTGAGCCTTCCAAGTTGGAAGGTTGTTGGTTTGCGCCTTGAAGAAGTGTTGGAGCTAGGTGTCAGGTCGCCGAATGTCTCAGTACTCCTTGTCAGTTTTGTGCCATTTTGTCGCACTCGCTGACTGTATAAGATCTGGTTACGTTGGTGGACAGTTTGTCATAACATTTTATCCTTTTCCTTTCTTCATCATAAAAATAACATTCATAAAACTTTTCAAATTTTGTCTGAAAGTTGAACTTAGACTATAAGACGTTAGAGAGAGTTCTTCTCCAGAGATTGGACGAATACAGTTTGTCACCTGCTATTTTCCTAGAACCAAGGGCTTTGAGAATGTTCTTGGAACTTCTCAGTGTTACACCTTGCCTAGTTTCTATCTTGCGCCCATAATAATTACACCGTATAAAATCAGAATGCCATGTCAATTACAATATCAGTATCACCTTCTCTGACGAGCCTTTGATAGGCGAAACAGCTGTCAGACGGAAATGTTTTACCCGTGACCCCTTCGTTGTTTGAAGTTTCCAATATTATTATTATTATTATTATTATTTGAAAGTAGGACGGATGCAGAAAATATTACAAAAAATGTATTATCTACGCATGCATCTACGCAAGAGTTATCACCAGCCAATTAGGACATGTGTCAAAGTATTGAACGTTTTCGTTAACTTCTTGTCAAAATACTACAGGGAATGATGGAAATAAGCTAAAAGACTACAACTATAAGGAAAAGAAGTTCAGAAATATATCACTCCAATTATGTGTAGAAGTGACACGAAAAAATAGATGTGAAGAATTAAGAAAACAGCATGCAAATCCAATAAGTGACAAAAACGTAGTGACAAGAAAAAGAGAGAAACATCAAGAGATCTATTTCGCACCTTCACGACGAACAGTGCCAAACAACTGCAAAGACAACACATTGTCCTTCTGAACACAAAGCTCAGGGTCTAACTTACGTATGTACAAAGCTTCCAACACGGCAAGATGTAACAAAGACCTACCACGCGGCAAAACTCTTGTTTGAATCCCTTTCTTTCTCTACACAATTTCTTCACATTTTTCATCGTTTTATTGCACATTGTCTCCACAGTTTTACAATACATGAATACAGTGTACACAAATGTCGATCCAGCTTGTAGTACTGATTGCGGTTATCAAATTATTATTATTTTTTGGTGCCCATCTGAAATGTATATGTGCCATAAACGAGAGAGCTTGGAAGCTCAGGGTCCTACGCTATGCTTTTTTGCCTTGATGACCTAGACAAAAAAAGCATAGGGATGATATAAATTCTTATAAGTTTCTACTTTTTGTTTTATTATTATTATTATTATTATTTATTCACAATCACGTGGCACTAGCCAATGAAATTAATGGAGATGTGGGCGATAGCCAGCCATGGCGCTAATAGAGCTAGAGGGCCGAAAGAAAAAGAATGAAAGGGGAACTGAAAAGTAAGAGAAGCGCGGGGAGCTAGCCTGGGATTCGAACCCGCACTATCGCCCTGCATGCATCCCCCGATACCCATCGCATACATACTAATTCTTCCAAGTTGCTTCACGTTATGATCTTGTATTTGAATATGCATTGTGGCCAGCCGTCTTTGATTGTACGGTATGGTACGGGACAGGTACGGGTCATGTACGGGACAGGTACGGGACAGGTACGGTCGAGGGTAATAAGACACCGTCTACCGCCTTGATGAAGGCAAAAAAAGAAAATGGATGTTATAAATTTTTCAATTCGCCTATTTTTTTCAGGCATTAGTAGTAGTGCCATTACATGGATTCGAACCCGCACTATCGCCCTACATCAAGAGTCCATAAACAAGAGTATGCAACTGTGATCTCTTTTCTATGGGCCAGATGCGCGGCGCGCTGCCTTCATTACATCATTCAGCGGCAGTCCGCGCAATGCGGAAAATCAAACACCGCACTTTCCCTCTGGTTTGAAATGAACTTTCGTACGGAACTGGAGTTCACGCGCCAGAATTTAGAGATCGCGTAGGTACTGGAACGAATCGAGCAAAAACGGATGGGCTCGTACGAGAAATTGTGAGTTTGAATGCATGCTTTCAGAGCGTGATGAAGGCAAGTTACGTAATGAAGGCACCGCGCCGCGCACTGACCCATCACCACAGTTGCATACTCTTGTTTATGCACTCTTGCCTACATGCATTCCGCCATACACTTCGCATTCATACTCATTCTTCCAAGTTGCTTCACGTTATGATCTTGCGTTTGAAAGCCCTATTTGAATATTGCGGCCAGCTGTATGTGGCCAGCTGTGTTTAATGGTACGGTACGGTACGGGACAGATACGGGATAGCGCCAGGCGTGACACAAACACACAAACAAACGAACACCAAAAATGGGTATGAATGCGAAGTGTATGGGGGAATGCATGTAGGGCGATAGTGCGGGTTCGAATCCCAGGATAAGCCTGAAAAATAGGAGAATTGAAAAATTTATAACATCCCTATGATTTTTTGCCGTCAGATACGGGATAGCGCCAGGCGTGACACAAACAAACAAACAAACACACAAACAAACAAATACCAAATTAAAGCTGTGTGGACCCTGGCTAGCGCCAGACGTTACTGAAGTAACATCTTCTGCATAGCTACGGGAATAAGCATACATTGTGCACATGTCACAGAATGCCTGGTATCAATGAAACTAAGATAATACTGATTATGAAGACCTACTCCAGAAAACATGGGACACCAAGTGGAGACAAAGCTTAGCAGGTGTGGAAGCAATACAAGAAGAACGAGCACTTGTGTTCTGATTGGAAGATCCAAGAAAGAAGAAATAATTGACCTATGCATCTCATGTCATTTCATCACACATACATGACTCAAAATGGGTGGGTTCAGTACTGTAATTTTGATCCAAACCAATCGAATGTACTTTGAATAATAATTCCTGTTCTCTTCCTACACGAAACCCCCTGGTCACTAAAAATGTCAGTCATCAAAATTACAGTATTGAACCCACCTATTTTTAGTCATGTATTTTTCATTTGCTCTTCTCTATTTGTGGGTTTTACTTAAGTTATCGTCATAATCTTTTTTTAAATAATTATCTAGAAGTTCAAGATCATTCTGTTAGAGCCAACCGTTGGCTGGTGAGAAGGTATCATTTCCTGTTGGCTTGGTGAAGTAAAATTAAAATCCAACAAAGTGCCATGCCATAGTCGTAATCAGCAGATCATACTTACTGATACACATCTTGTCCAGAGGTGCTAAGTACAAGTTAGACCAACCAAAGACACCATTCTTGCTGGTGCACTTCGCAAGTGCGAAAGGATTCAGTTCGTATCCAACGTCACACGTTGCTGGGACGGTCTTTCCATAGGGGTTTTCCTCAAACTTTCCATTCGCGAACCTGTATTCGTTGCATACTATCAACAAACCAGAAAGACCAACAAGTAAAGAGCATTGGTCAGGTCAATAAACACACAAACACACACACACACACACAAAAACACAAACACGCACACACGCACACACACCTTGACCTCGACTTGTGTACAGCTGTCAGTAACTGGCTATGCCGCCCCGATGCGGGGGAGGAGAGGAGAGCGTGCAGTCATGACGCCCTCAAGACATGTCGCCGGATGTCGCGGAGCCAATGGAAACGTCTCCCACACTTGCACTCATGTGGAAAGTGACCACGATCAACAGGCCTGCACTCGCCTCTCCAACAGTTGTGGCGGCTGAAGGCTGAAGCCGATTTGCAGCAGCGGCCACAGACACTGCAGTGATGATCACAGCAGCGCTCAGTCGAGACAGCGTACCGGGGTGGGGACGCCGAGGGCAGAGATGCTTGGGCTGGAGGCGATGAGGCGTGAGCAGTAGCGGTTGGCTCCACTGTTGTAGATGGTGATGGCTGACAACGGTGAACAGCCAGGCACCCCGCACTTTTAAATCACCGCCGGCAGGTGCTGCAATGCCATGAACCACGCTGGAGCTCTACAGGAAGCCGACGCTCACCAAGGCACTTGTGCCGCGTAAGACCCGACTGTTTGGTGAATGTTTTGATGCAGGTGTTACAGTGAGCAGCCAGCTCCGGTGCAGGACGGTCCACACTGGGCAGATAGATGCTGCGCCACTCTTGTCGCTCTTGTGCGGATTCGTACCACTCTGGTACATGGAGTAGAGTAAGAATCGACCGAACGCGGTCCTTCCACCTGAGACGTGGTCCATGTGCTGGCCTGGTCTGCGGCAGCCAACCAAACAGAAGCTGCTTCCGAAGGCGGTCATTCGGTATGCGGGCAACATGGCCAAGCCACTGCATTCGCCGGCGACACAGGATGTCAGAAAGCAGATCACTATTACCCCAGCGCACACGCAGCTCGCTGTTGATTGGTGTGGCACGTGTCACCAGCGTTCTGCAGCTTTGGATGTGGAATTTGCTGATGATGCTGCTCTTATGGTGCCCTCCCGTGAAGTGGCTGAGTCGGAACTTGAGTTTTTCCATTCTGTGGCATCAGCATTTGGTCTCACAGTCAACTTTGCCAAGACACACACACACACACACACAAAACACACACACGCACATACACACACACATACTCTTTCTCTCACTCAAACACACACACACACCCTCTCTATCTCTCTATCTCTCTCACACACACACACACACACACACGCACACACACACATACACACATATACGCATGCACACACACACACAAACACACATACATACACACACACATACACACACACGTCCTCCATGCCGTTATTCTTTCCCAGCCTCCCGACAGCAAGGGAATGCAAACATTTAAAACGAACGTTTATTGCCATCTACGAAGCACAAACTGGCTCTGGGCAGTCGACTCGCTATGATTCTGCTCTGGTCTATCCCTATCTACGCAACAAAAATGTCTCGGACAATCGACTCGCCATGATCGGCCATGATGATGCCCCTCTTGATCACAACCTCTGTACTTGTTCAGAGTATCACAGTTCCTCCCGCACACTCGCTGGTGTTAACCCTTTGGTGCGTGTTTTTGGCAGTGATCCGGAGACCTCACGTCGGCAGAGCCATCAATGCTGCACCATCACTGCTACGTCTCCGTGCAGCCCCTACTCAGTACATGTAGTTGTCACGTTCTTCCTAGTCTCAGTACCATTGACGCATTGTCTTTCTTTTAATTTTATCGAGCTGGAAATGTGAACATACTCAACATAGTAAAAACAAAACAAAACAAAAAATACACCCACACCCACACCCACCTACCCACCCCATACCCACCCACATACTCCACCCCCATACCCACCCACCCACACCCCGCCCCCACCCACCCACACCCCGCCCCCACCCACCCACACCCCGCCCCCACACACCCACCCACACATCCACCCACACATCCACCCACACATCCACCCACATACCCACCCCACACATCCACACCCACACATACCCACCCACACCCTACCCCCGCACACCCACACACCCACCCCCACACATACCCACCCACACACACCCCACCACCACACACCCACACATATCCACCCACACACCCACACCCACACATACCCTGTCCTGTCCTGTCCTGTTGACCCACTGCCGTAAAGGTTACGTGGTCCCTTTGCGGGAGGAGGGAGAGGAGCAAACACGCCGGTGCCGGGTCAGGTCCCTGGACTGCCGAAATCTCCAAGAGCAGTGCTGACACATTAGTGGAAACTTGGCACGTTCATCCGTTGTCGGGCGGTTCTGGCGAGGTCTACAAGGAGCGGGATGGCTGGCGATTGAGGTAGGCTGACACCTGTGCACAGCGAGTCCACCCCTGCTACAGTACCATTTGCCACAATCTGCGCATTGACATGCACCACGCTGCTGTTGGACTGGCTTGCGACGCTCCGCTGTGGTAGCAGCCTGGTCCTAAATTTCATGGCATTCAATTGACCGTAACTTTGGTGTCTCTCAATTGATTTGAGTTAAATTTGCACCACACACTCCTGCCACTATGCTGGCCTTCTGGACATGATTTAAAAGTTCTTGCGCCTCACTGACAGGCTTCACAGGCCGGAAAAACTCAAACATTCCGGCAGAGTGCCACGGTTGGCGAGCCACACAGGAGCCAAACAAATACATTTACAATTTTTTCACATTTTCTAGCCAATTCTGTCCATGCGCAGGATCCAAACCTTAAACAACGTCCAGAAGCAGCCATGGGTGGTGGTATAGGGCCCTTCAACGTGGCCCTGGAATCTGACACAACGGCAGGAGTGGGCGTTCTGCAACAGACTCCCACAGACCCAAGTCAATTTTTGAATTTTTTAGGTTCAGGGCGTGCTACGAGGTCGTACCTTTGATACAACATCCAGTGCTGGGACCTCCACAGCAAGCCATTTCAACAGCGCTTCAAACCAAATCCAGGATACCCTCCAAAATCGGCAAAGACTACCACTCACGTTCCACCACTGCCTAGTACTGAATCCTTCCTGACTTCTTGACACGACTCAAACTTGCCAAAGTCACTAAATCAACGCCAACTACAATAATCAAGCCACATATCTGCAACGTCACGAGGGTGCTGGCAAAAGTCCTGCTGCACGGCGGCGGGCGAATCCCGCCGCCGTGCAGCCCAGTACATGGCTAAAAACGTGATTTTTGGACTTGGAGCAAAATTCTGTACACTTTCGCGTGTTTCCATGATACGACAAGTTGCGCACGGTCTGCTCACATTCAAATACAGTGCTGCCAACAAATGACAGCGTGCAACAAAAATATCTTTCCTTGCAAGGGCACATTTTCGGCCATAACTCTTGAACGGCTGGTCCGATCGAGACCAAATTTTCAGAGATTTTGCAGCTGTTCATGCTCTTTCAACTGATGTAGCACTCGATATGAATTTACAAATTCGAGTTTTCAGTGATTTTACGACCAGGCTGCCACCTTAAGTTTGCTTGGTCTAGAGCAGCCCTTTCCACAGATGGGGCACTCAACGGGGGCTGCTGCGGCCAGTTCCTTATCCTGGTCTTGGTATCTACATCGCCATTCCATGCGAGATGTGTTAGCGGTCTGGTACCAGTTCACAATTTGGTTATGGCGAAGATCGACCGACACGCAGTCCTTCCACCGTTTCCTTGGTCCATGGGCAGGTCTGACAGATGGGAGCTGGCCAAACAGCAGGCACTTCGGCATGGGGGTGTCATCCATGCGCGCCAGGTGACCTAGCCACTCTAGCCGACGATGCCGAAGCTTACAGGTGATGGTATCCTGATCGCCCCATATACGCAATAGTTCAGCATTGCTGATGTGGGCATCCCACATCTGCTGCCACATACCCACCTGTTTACGCAGAGCTCACTGACTTGTCAGTTTGAGCACTCTGGCAAGGTACGTTCGGGTCTGATTGGAAATTTTAATTTTCATTGCTATCAGGTTCGGCCTCATTTCCTCTGTGCTGCGCTGATGAGTTCACAAAGAACGAAACAGCATGCTGTCCGCAGATTGAGTACGGTGTATATACATAGACACATACATTATGAGTTTGAGCACTCTGGCAAGGTACGTTCGGGCCTGATTGGAAATTTCTATTTCCATTGCTATCAGGTTCGGCCTCATTTCCTCTGTGCTGCGCTGACGAGTCCACAAAGGACGAAACAGTTCTGTCCGCAGATTGGATACATACATTATCTGTAATAATCACTGTTTTTGAGTCGCGCAGAGCCCAATGACTTGTCCGTTTGAGTACTCTGGCGAGGTATGTTCGGGTCTGGTTTAAATCGCGCTTTGAAAAACTATTTTCATTGGCACCACCAAGAGTCCATAAACAAGAGTATGCAACTGTGATCTCTTTTCTATGGGCCAGATGCGCGGCGCGCTGCCTTCATTACATCATTCAGCTGCAGTCCGCGCACTGCGGAAAATCAAACACCGAACTTTCGTACGGAACTGGAGTTTCACGCGCCAGAATTTAGAGATCGTGTAGGTACTGGAACGAGTCGCGCAAAACAGATGGGCTCGTACGAGAAATTGTGAGTTTCTATACATGCTTTCAGAGCGTGATGAAGGCAAGTTACGTAATGAAGGCGGCGCGCCGCGCACTGACCCGTAACCACAGTTGCATACTCTTGTTTATGCACTCTTGGTACGGCCTCATTTTCTCCGTGCTCTGCTGACGAGCCCACAGAGGGTGGATCAGCTTTGTTCGTAGATTAAGATCATTCAGTACATACACACATGTACATACATACATGTGCATACACACATGTGCATACACACATGTACATACACACATGTACATACACACATGTACATACACACATGTACATACACACATGTACATACACACATGTACATACACACATGTACATACACACATGTACATACACACATGTACATACACACATGTACATACACACATGTACATACACACATGTACATACACACATGTACATACACACATGTACATACACACATGTACATACACACATGTACATTTTTTTTTTGGAAAAAAAAAAGTTACACATGTACATACATACATGTACATACACACATGTACATACACACATGTACATACACACATGTACATTGGTCTTGAGGAGGAGTTTGCTCCGCTTCGAGACGTCATCCTGGAGCAATTTGCCCCAGCCATCCTTGGGCGGGAGGTTCTTCCTCGGGAACACCAGCTCCTCACCCTGCCAGTCAAGTATGGTGGCTTGGCTTTGGCCGATCCTGTCCACACAGCACCCCAGGCTTACCAGAAATCGAGAAACGGTACTGACATCCTGCGCAACTCAATCCAATCTGGTAACCCCGTAAACGTAAATGATCACAGCGCTCACTGTCGCCGCATCACAAGCCAAATCATCAGGGAACGAGATGTGATTTCCGCTGAAATCAGCCAATCAATTCTCAGTGACCTGCCACAGCTTGAGGAGCGCACCCTCTCCCGCATCGTTCGGGGAAATGCCTCCGGATGGCTTACGGTGTTGCCCCTGAAGCGCGAGGGGTATGATCTGTCGAGTACAGAATTCCGCGATCAACTTGCCATCCGCTATGATCGGCAGCCGCTTGCCCTGCCAGCGCAATGTGATGGTTGCGGGAAGCCTTTCTCTCTCCAGCATGGCCTTGACTGCCCGAAAGGTGGACTTGTCAAGCGAGGCCACAATGATCTGCGTGATAGCGATGCAAAGCTAGCTGATATGGCATTCGGTGGTGTTGTCGTCGAGCCGATCATGGTGCCGGAGGGTGATCGGACGGGGCAGCCTGCTCTTCGGGCAGATTGGCTTGCCCGGGGTGTGTGGGAAGATAACAGGGTGGCGTTTTTGATAATCGCATCATTGATGCCAACGCACCCAGTTACTCCCATTCATCCTGGGAAGCTACTTCCAACCGCGCTGCTAACGCGAAGAAAAAGAAGTATCGTCAGGCCTCCGAGGACCTCCGTGGGTCGTTCACACCACTGGTTTGTTCCACGGATGGGGTGCTACATCGCGAATACGCCAGCTATCAGAAGCGACTTGCTGGTCGCCTCGCCCTCAAGTGGGACAAGCCATTTTCTATCATCATGGCTTGGGTGCGAGTTCGCAGCCAATTTGCAGTGATCCATGCAGTCGACCTCCGGCTACGCGGGTCTAGAAGGCGCCTGACAGGCCTGTCGACGCAGGATGGTGCTGGGGTAGGCATCGGCCATTGAAAACTGAATTCCGTCTGTTTTACGTGGAATTTCTTGGAGTTTCCCAATGTATTGTGCTTGAATAAAATTCTATTTTAATTTTCATGGTATCTCAATTTTTTTCACGTCTACATGACTTTATTTTGCCCGCAAAAGAGGCCGTTACCCCGTAAAAAAACACACATGTACATACACACATGTACATACACACATGTACATACACACATGTACATACACATATGTGCATACACACACACATGTACATGGCAAGGCTGGCCCACTTGGCTCAAGGCAAGGCTGGCCCACTTGGTAGGACCGTGTACGATGGCGCGCCCATGGTGCTCGCACTGCAGCCACCACCCGTGGCCAAGTCTCTGCTGCTCTTGTTCTGCCCCCCGCTAACACCCGATATGGCTTTAGTGCAATTTCTTATTTGGGCGCTGCCAGTTGGAATACACTTCCACCGGCTTGCCGCATGTCTAGTTCACCAGCTGAATTTCGCTCATCCATCAAATTATACCTAGGGTTCCCTGTAAAAAGGCGCTGACGCCTGTTGGGAACTCCCTAGTAAAAGAAGAATAAATAATAATAATAATAATAACGATGTGCTGCAAGAGAAACACCCGGAGCAACAACCCGCCGATCCAAGAGCATTCCTTGAGTGCGAGGATCTGCCCCTGCTGGAGGATGTTCATATCACTGGTGCAATGATTGAACAGGTGGCCCGACGACTCTTCGGCAGTGCCGGTCCCAGTGGGACCAACTCTGAGCAGTGGAGAACGTTCTTGCTATCCCATGGCAATGCCAGCAGTCGCCTGCGGGAAGCTGTGGCCGCCTCAACCCGTCGACATGCAAATGGAATCGTGCCCTGGTGCAACATGCGAGCATTCCTTGCTCGGAGAGGCATTGCACTGGACAAGCTACCAGGAGTGCGGCCAATCGGAGTGGGCGAATGCAGGCAGCGCATTGAGGCAAAGGCCATGGCCCTTGCTACGGGAATTGATGTCCAGGAGGTCTGTGGGGCTGACCAGCTATGCTCGGGTGCAAAAGCTGGGATTGAGGCAGCTGTTCATGCTATGAGCGACGTTTTCACCGAGGATGACACTGAAGGACTCCTTCTTGTCGATGCAGCTAATGCATTTAACTCGCTAAGCCGTCCCGCGGCCCTATGGAACTGCCGAGTGCTCTGGCCGAGATGCGCAAGGTTTCTATTCAACGCCTACCGTGGGTACGCTGTGATCATCTTGAAAGGTTCCTGTACATCCGAGGTCCATACCCTTCTCAGCCGGGAAGGTACTACTCAGGGATGTCCCCTGGCTATGCTAATGTATGCCATTGGTCTGCACCCTCTGATTGAGAGTTTGAAGGAACCCAGCCAGCACACCCAAAACTGGTACGCTGATGATTCTTCTTGTGCGGGACGGTTGCGCAACATCAGGAAGTGGCTCGACCGCCTTATCGATCAGGGTGAAGCTTTCGGCTACCAAGTTGAGCCGACAAAGAGTATCATTATTGTTTCCCCGGATCTCGTTCAGCAAGCTAATGATATCTTTGGGGATCTGAACATCCAAGTAGCCACATCCGCCCGTTTCCGAGGAGGCTGTATCGGTGAACCTGACGGAGTGAGATCGTTTGTCAAGGAGAGAGTGGAGACGTGGGTGAGCAGTGTCAATTGCCTTGCCGCTGCTGCCAGGAAATACCCCCAGTCGGCGTATTGTGCGTTGAATCGCTCGCTCTCATGTGAGTGGTCATACCTGCAGCGTGTTGTCCAGGGTCTTGAGGAGGAGTTTGCTCCGCTTCGAGACGTCATCCTGGAGCAATTTGCCCCAGCCATCCTTGGGCGGGAGGTTCTTCCTCGGGAACACCAGCTCCTCACCCTGCCAGTCAAGTATGGTGGCTTGGCTTTGGCCGATCCTGTCCACACAGCACCCCAGGCTTACCAGAATTCGAGAAACGCTACTGACATCCTGCGCAACTCAATCCAATCTGGTAACCCCGTAAACGTAAATGATCACAGCGCTCACTGTCGCCGCATCACAAGCCAAATCATCAGGGAACGAGATGTGATTTCCGCTGAAATCAGCCAATCAATTTTCAGTGACCTGCCACAGCTCGAGGAGCGCACCCTCTCCCGCATCGTACGGGGAAATGCCTCCGGATGGCTTACGGTGTTGCCCCTGAAGCGCGAGGGGTATGATCTGTCGAGTACAGAATTCCGCGATCAACTTGCCATCCGCTATGGTCGGCAGCCGCTTGCCCTGCCAGCGCAATTTGATGGTTGCGGGAAGCCTTTCTCTCTCCAGCATGGCCTTGACTGCCCGAAAGGTGGACTTATCAAGCGAGGCCACAATGATCTGCGTGATAGCGATGCAAAGCTAGCTGATATGGCATTCGGTGGTGTTGTCGTCGAGCCGATCATGGTGCCGGAGGGTGATCGGACGGGGCAGCCTGCTCTTCGGGCAGATTGGCTTGCCCGGGGTGTGTGGGAGGATAACAGGGTTGCGTTTTTTGATAATCGCATCATTGATGCCAACGCACCCAGTTACTCCCATTCATCCTGGGAAGCTACTTCCAACCGCGCTGCTAACGCGAAGAAAAAGAAGTATCGTCAGGCCTCCGAGGACCTCCGTGGGTCGTTCACACCACTGGTTTGTTCCACGGATGGGGTGCTACATCGCGAATACGCCAGCTATCAGAAGCGACTTGCTGGTCGCCTCGCCCTCAAGTGGGACAAGCCATTTTCAATCATCATGGCTTGGGTGCGAGTTCGCAGCCAATTTGCAGTGATCCATGCAGTTGACCTCCGGCTACGCGGGTCTAGAAGGCGCCTGACAGGCCTGTCGACGCAGGATGGTGCTGGGGTAGGCATCGGCCATTGAAAACTGAATTCCGTCTGTTTTACGTGGAATTTCTTGGAGTTTCCCAATGTATTGTACTTGAATAAAATTTTATTTAAACTTTCATGGTATCTCAATTTTTTTCACGTCTACATGACTTTATTTTGCCCGCAAAAGAGGCCGTTACCCCGTAAAAAAAACACACATGTACATACACACATGTACATACACACATGTACATACACACATGTACATACACACATGTACATACACACATGTACATACACACATGTACATACACACATGTACATGTAGATGAAAAAAGTAAATAATATAAGCACAACAACAACAACAACATGTGATTTTGAATTCTTTATTCTCACGATGGCACCATCGCCAATAAGAGGTCTTATTGTCTGACTCCCACCCCACGCTTCATACGGGTGAACATGACAATTGAGTACAGTACCACTTACCGATGTGGGAATTCTGATCAATGCCTGCACGGGATTACAATGAAGAGAAACAAGAACGAGGATCTGTAGGAAAGTATTTCTTTCACTAGCTCGCCTACTACAGTCACACCTCGCTTATCCGCACACATCCGTTTCCCACAAAAAATATCCGGATAGGCGAGGGAACCGGATAGTCGAGCATACATACTGTATGTATGCATGCCATATGCTGTAAATCGGTGACCAGTGATTTTCGTCCGGATAAAAGAGGACCGGATAGGCGAGCAAGTCTAGTAACCATCCGAGATCTGGGGTCACAGACCCTCGGCTAACTGTACTTAAATCGCAAATGGAGTAGACAATGGATAGGACATAAGAGGAAGTGTGAGAATGCGTGTGTGTCTGAGTGTGAACGGGAGAAGCCGGTTTCGGAGCAGAGAGGTGCATTTTTTTTTACTAGAGCCACGTAAACCCGTCATGTGTGAGCCATGAATAAGGGGAGTGGTGGCGTGGTCTGGGATGCTCTGCCGACCTTGGGTCTCGGCTTCATCACAACCAGGCGCGCCAATAGCAGAGAGAGAAAGAGAGGGAGGGAGGGAGAGAGAGCATGTCAGTGCCCTCGGTGTCATCGTTGGTTCCGGAGCCGCGGAGGCTTGGCTGTGCATCGTTGCTCCGCTTCTACCTCGTGCCCAGTACCGACCAAAGCAGCTGCTGTTGTCACCGGATACACTGTGCCGCTCGGAGGTGCTGCAATGCTCACTGTGGCACCTGCACTCGTTGTTTCCGCTCAACCCAGGGACGCAACCGCCATCGCTGTTCAACGCACTGCCACCGACCAACGGCCAGAGAACGGGACAAGTTCTCGCATATGTGTATCTCCGCTCGCCGGTTCCGACTAGTCTCGCATCTGGAGCGCCATCGGTTGGCGTACTCTTTCTCTCTCTCTGCTGCCCCTCCGGGGCCCATGTGGCCCTAGTGCCGCAGTACTAGTGGTAGTGGCTCTACAGGACAGGACAGTGTATGAGTGTGTGTGCGTGTGTGTGTGTGTTTGTGTGTGTGCGTGTGTATGAGTGTGTGTGAGTGTGTGTGAGTGTGTGTGTATGAGTGTGTGTGCGTGTGTGTATGAGTGTGTGTGCGTGTGTGCGTGTGCGTGTGCGTGTGTGTGTGCGTGAGTGTGTGCGTGAGTGTGTGCACGCGCGCGTGTGTGTGTGTGTGTGTGTGCGTGCGTGTGTGTGTTTGCTAAATCCAGGCATTTAGGAAGTGGAAAACTAAAATCGTTCTCTGAGGAGTTCACAAAGGAGAGCAGAGCATCACAGATTGAGTAGCTGGATATAGGGACCGGCGGATTCTGCTCGAAAAGGTGGCAGATTCTGCTCGAAAAGCAGTGAAATTGGCAGAACCATACAAACCTTATGGCGGGCAATTCCTCGAATTCTGCTCCATTTCATTATCCACTTACCAAACATGCATGAAACTTACCAGAAAAAGTACCGAATTCTGCCAATTTTTCTGCCGGCAGAATCCGCCGGACCCTAGCTGGATACTGTTTTTCACTAGGAACATGGTGTAGTAATCAAGCAGAGGCCAGTAGACAGTCAAGTAGAGTACAATCAAGAGTATAGAAGCCACCTATGTACTCTGGGTGCAATGAATAGATGGACACTCTGCGAGCCTGTGGAGAATCTACCTCGTGCAGCTACATAGACAGACAGATCTGCACGCTAAACTCAGTGAACGTACCCGTGATAGTTTTAGTTGTTCCAAGAAGAGCGCCACCTGCAAAAGGAACAAGCAAAATCGAGAATCTACACTATCAGGTTGATCCTCATCATTTATAGTCAATTTATCAAAGAATAATAATAAGCGGCTCGGAGACAGTGTTTTCATCAAGGCTATAAAACATTCCGTCATCACCAACCACCCACCACGAGGACGTGTAATGTGCCAGAAACATATTCCTAACCATGTGAGGTCGTCGAATACGTTATAACCATAGCGTTTCAAATAATTTGTTATAAGTGCTGTGGTGAAGATTTCAGAAAGATTGCAACGGCTAGAACTGGATACAGTTACATAATAACTATAATTACAAAAGTATTGGTGTAAAGCTGACTACAGTTACGTACATCCTAATACAGATATTATTATTCCATGGGAAGTAGTGTAGAGTTGATTAAGTCACATCTACTGGAAGTGGTGTAGAGCTCGATCTCGGTCTGTCTTTCTGTAGCTCTCTTTATTACTCTCTGCCCTCTTCACTCATCGAGCATATAAACAAAGGAGACGGACAGCAGACAGGTCACTTGCAGCTTTCGGCCTGTTTTGCAAGAAAGCATTCCACCTTCACCAGATACGCTGTCTGGTCGCTCTCATCACACCAGCAACTTGACTCCAGTTGTAGACACATATGCGGACAAAATGTTCTCCATACAGCGCTGATCATCACTCCTATATTCAGTACCAGCCATAGTGCTAGAATCTGTTGTGTCTTTCCAGAAATCACATGTGCACGGTGCATGTATTTACAATTGAGAATACAATTACGAGTTTGCCGTTGCTAACATCATCAGGCAATGGTAGTCTGATGATCGTTTGCAATGTTGGGTGGTTGGTCTCTTCTACCTTTGTGGCATTGCTCCATCCTTGTCGTGCTGGGCGCTCTCGGCAATCGGTGAATTCTCGCTAATGTAGTAGTAGTAGTAGTAGAAGTAGTATTTATTATTTTGTTAGGGAAATCCCTACAGACGTTGCCGTCTTTTTACAGGGAACCCTAAGTGCTCTTTGCAGAGCGAAATGAAAGCGGATGGTTGATCAGCTACTATTGACTATTGTGTACATACATGCTTTCAAGTTTGACAGCATACATACATGTACATACATACATGTACATACATACATGTACATACATTATATGTACTTGCTCACTGCCAAAACTGGTCAAATGGGTCTTCCCGGAAAAGGAGAGAGAGACTCAAGAGGGGAGAGAGACTCAAAAGTAATCTTGGAAAGATGACTCAATTGGCTATTGAACCGCCCAACGACCGACACCCCCTGAAATCCCCAAACTCTGGGGTGGACTTGAAAATGATCCAAATAACGCTGAGTAATTACACAATGTATAAAAACCAGCATTTGCCAAATGGAAGGAAGAATGAGGAACGTAAGTACATGTACGGCTTTGGAAAATTTATTTTTCATTGCTACCCGGTTCGGCTTCATTTTCTCTGTGCTGCGCTGATGAGTCCACGAAGGACGAAACAGTTCTGTCCGCAGATTGAGTACATATACATGTGATGGTGATCGTATAAAAATAAAATAAATAAATGTTACGGTTCGCGTGAGCCTCAGCTGGTAGCCGAGTTTTGCGCATCCGCCGTGGGAACGTCACCACCCTCTAGAATCAAAGGCGCAGATGCAGCGCCTAAGCGGTGGGAGGTGAGTAGATCAGACCCAACCACCAAGTGGTGAAAGACCGAAATCCCATTAGCTGCATCCATGTTACCCTCGGGCCAGGCCACGAGTTCCCAATTAACTTAACTGTGGGTCGCAGCACGGCTGGAAAAATTCCTTCCGCTTCCAAGCTGGACTTGAACCTGTTTGTCAATCATGGTCTACCATCCGTGGTGAGACGTTAAAGGGGAACTGTCACCAAAATATTTCTTTGTCTTATCTTGTAGTACTAGTTCCTTGGCTCCTGATCACAATGGTTTTATCTGTTTTTCTCCGCGATGGCTGGAAGTGGGTGAAAACTTGAAAAGAAGGTGCCCAAAATTGTCCCGAAGTACCGAGTGACGTCACGCCGGACTTGACCTCCACGCGTACATTCGTCGTCAAAAACGAAGTTCAGCCCGTGTGCTGGTCGATCGAGCTAGCTGTTCATTATGTACGGCGCACGTGTGCCTTTTGAACTCTAACACATAATTATGGGTACGTCGTACAGAAGGAGAATGCCAAAGAGGCAGAGACCCGCGTGCAGTTACACAGCCAAATCAATATAAAAAGCAGCTGACCTTTCACCTTTTTGACTTCTTCCGCGATGATCTTACAACGCACGGCCAGTTTTCCGTTTTCAGTCCCGCATTTCTTTTTTCGTTTTCGTACGTTTACACGATCAAAGCCGATCCGAGGGGGTCCCCGTTTGTACCGTTTTCAAGCGTCTACACGAGAGCAAAGGATCCGCCAAAGTTCGTCATGTGCCAAGTGTTGCCGTGGAAGCACCAATCACACTCAAGTAATGGTTGAAAACAGGCACACTACAACACACGTCACATGACGAAAATTGTAAAAACAATTGTTTTGATTGTCGGATCCGTGTAAACGGCCGAAAACGAAACAAACGTGACGGAAAACGAGGCCAGCACACCGTTTCGACTGTTTACACACCCAAATTTATCCGGCAGAACATTTCCGTTTTCAAATTCTTCCACCTTGGCCAGCGTTTTGGTTTTCTTCCGTTTTGGTGTACAACTTTTACGTTTTGCTCCGCGTACCGTGTAAGGGCGCGCTCACACTGTGACCAAAACCAGCGTCCATGCGGCCATGCGGCCAAGTTGCATGGCAACGGCATGAACTTGACCAAAACGTCGCGGCCACGTTTCAAATCGTGACCGCGACCTCCGGAGGGGGGTGCCACGACTTGGCGGCAACATGATCGTAGACGTGAAGCGTATTTGTGTACAACCTGGCCTGAAGTATGTTCAATTTCTCAAATTCCGGTGTGTTGATTCATGAAAATCGGCGGTTGTCGATGTCACCTCGACATTTGCACATTTTTAAAATTTTGTAGTTGTGGTCCTGCTGACCTGCACGCACGCACCGCCAAATATGCATTCTTTGCCCTTTTTGGACGATGTCGATTTTGTTTTTGTTTTTGTAGTTGCTTCGTTGTGATCGGGTCAGTGACCAATTTCTACAGTGTACTCGTTCAATACGATGGCAGCTTGGTCTGGCTTTTCGGTTTCGGAAATTATCTTTCTCTACTTTTCTGCGATGATGGAATGCCGACATTTCAGTTACATATCATCGGAAAATACAGTTCTCATCTCGGCAACAGACGAAAGAAACCACTACCGGAATTTCCACTGCACTGGCACTTGCTCTGACCACGAGGTCAGGAAAGCGAAAGCGCTTGGATGTCAGCGGCAGTCCCTCAAGAGTCCAAACCTACCTGATTGTATGAATTATTTTCGTCGACTTCAAGAATACGAGCCACGAGGCACTTCCTCCAACATGCAACATGCGAAAAATTACATCCAAAACGGGCCACAACTTTATTAGGAAACGCACGAACTCTTTTGGATACGAACTGCAATTCGTAAAGTTTGTGTGACAAGTTCACGTCTACGCGTGTACGAGGCCTAGTGTGAGCACGACTGCCACGTTTCTGCGTTTTGCTGACGCATGGACGCGTGCTCATGATCGCAGTGTGAGCGCGCCCTAAATGAACCATGGATCCGAAAGGATTTCGTTGCGTTTTCGCCCCCAGCGTTGTCGTGTAAACGCAGCATTAGTTTTATTTCGCGAGCACGGAAGTACGTCGTTGTTTTGAACTTTTCGTGTGAGGAACAACACGATGATGAGCGCGTATGCAGAAACCAGTACTCCTCCGGCCGTCGATAACACCACCAACCCGAGCCCCAAAGGAACGCAATGTAGCTACGTGAAGGCGATTCACCTGGCGATGTTGCTGAAGATGCAGATGGCAAACGAAAAACTTTTTTGCGACTGCAGGGGCGGTTTGCCATTTTTGGGCTCCGCTTGTTTTCAGTAAATCTGGTAGTTTTTGCCCCTCGGGGGCTGGCTTAGCACGATGGACACAAGTGTATGTGGTGATATCACAGTGGAAGATCAGTTTGGTGTTCCAGACCCCGTGAGGAAAGATTCTGTCCGTCAGTCTTGCTCAACATGTGAAAGCCATTTTTTTAAAATCCTCGAAGTAATGGAAATGGAACGTAGTCTTGCTGCCGATCGAGAGAAAAGATTAAATAGTAAAATCGACGACCTCACCCGTTTAGTTTCCTCCCTGAAAGAGGTAGTTATGGAATCTGGATCACCAGCGTATTCAATGGCGGCAGCGAAGGCAGTCGGCCATGACGAGACAAAGAGCAAGGGAAAGCCACGCCGCGCACGGAGCAGTTTCAAAGCTGGTGAACAAGTTCAAGCTGAGTCTGCAAAGTCCGTACGATCTACGAATGCGCCAACATCTCAAGACAGCCGTGCTCAACCGGATCTGGAAGCTTCAGCAGCCACCTCCACGTGCGAGGACGTTGACTCGGTTCATGAACCCCGTACGCAGAGATCGGACCTTGGCCTTGATGACCCAGGAGCACGTGCAGAGGGACATTTGAAACCAAGTGCTGCACAGAAGATCGTCGATCGCCTCAAAAAATTTGAGGATATGCAGGACGATGTCGAAGCTTCCTGGAGGCTGGTCACGAATACTAAGCCCACGCAGAAAAAGTCAGTTTTCTTCGTTGGGAACCTGCTCCCCGAGATGCAGAGCGAGCAGTTGAAACTGTTTATTGAACGCAGAGCTGCAGACATCGATCACCCTGTCTGTGTTTTTGAGGTGAAGATCTTCCCCAAAGAATCCTCATCATCGGCCAGGATCACCATCAACGCTTCCAGTGCGAAGCTAGTCAACAGCCGCCGTTTCTGGCCTGCTCCACTGTACAGTAGGTGTTGGAATTTCGACAAGTACAGATCTGAAACAGAGGACAGCCACAGCAGTATGAATTCAGCCCAAGATGACCAGCATAGCCTTCCTTAACATCTGCAGCCTCCGCAGAAAAGTCGACGAACTCAAAGATATCGTTTCCAAGCATGGTGTGCATGTCATGGGCGTTGCTGAAACATGGCTAGCTGCTGATGTAACTGATGGAGAGGTATCCATTCCTCACTACAAGCTATTCAGGAAAGATCGTGCCCTACAGCACGGCGGTGGCGTTTGCATATACTGTCATGAAACGACTCGTGTCAAACAACGTGCTGATCTGGAAACAGATTTGGAAATTTTGTGGATTGAGGTCATGGAGCAAAAGCACAGTACCCTGGTGGGATGTGCATACCGTCCACCAGATAAGTCAGTGGCTTACTGGGATGTGTTCCAAGCCAACATCGAAAAGGCTGTGCAGGGAAGACAGTCGCGCACAGTTCTCATTGGAGACTTTAATGTGGACTATGCCGATCCTCTTGCCAGCCGTGCAAATCACTTGCACTCCACACTCACACACTGCAACTTGTTTAACTATGTGTCTCAGCCGACAAGAGTCACGTCCTCTTCGGCATCTGTTATCGACCTGTTCTTGTCTAACGTTCCCATAGAGGGTGTATGTCGCACTGTCTATGTTGATATGAGCGATCATTTTGCCATCCTGGCCCATATGCCTGGCTTTGGCATGGGAAAGGCATATTCTGGACACCCAGCCGCCAAACGCCAAGGTAGGCGACTCCATCGGATAAATTGGAACACATTCAATGAGGACTTGAACCATCATCTAGCGACTTGTACCTTTACCGGAAATCTTGAAAATGCTGTGCAGAGTCTTACCACCTTTATCATATCTACCCTGGATGTGCACGCACCATTGATTCATCGGCGCCGACAGGAGAAACGTCCTTGCCCCTGGCTAACACCGGAGCTAGTTGCCGCGGTACGTGAGCGAAACCAGTTCCATCGCCGGTTGATGAGCGACAAAGGCAATGCGGATCTGCGTGAGCTCCACCGTCAGGCCCGCTCTACTGCAAGGAAACTGGATCGCCGTCTACGTAATGCCTACTTCATGAATCAGTGTGCAAATCGTGATCAGAGAAAGTTGTGGTCAGTTATGAACATCGTCACAGGCCGTGCTAAGCAGCGTCAAGAACCTCAAGCCGGCATTGAGGACCTGAGCAAAACCTTTGGGGATGTTGTGCATGACCCAGACCGACCATCCACGCTAACACCACCAAGTGGACCGATGCCAGCGTCTAGCTTTCTGCAATTTGAACTGGTGCCGGTGAGTGATGTGAAAGCTTGTCTGAAGTGCATAAATCCCGCGAAGGCCACGGGTAGTGATTGCGTTCCTGGTTTAGTGTTGAGGGAATGTGCCGATAGCCTTGCTGGGCCACTCACGGATATCATTAACAGATCACTGTCCACTGGAACAGTACCAATGATGTTCAAGCGATCGTTTATTAGTCCTTTGTATAAGTCAGGAGACCCCACAGTGCCAGTTAACTACCGCCCAGTATCCTTATTGCCGATTATATCTCGTATTCTCGAACACTTTGTGAAAAAGCAGCTCGTGGAATATCTCACAGCGCATGAACTTTATCCAAAGACTCAGTTTGCGTATCGGAAGTGTCACTCGACGGAGGATGCACTTGTGCTTGCCGTCAACAGGTGGGTGCTTGCACGCTCACATCGCCGCTTCACGGGCATCGTCATGGTAGATATGAGTAAAGCCTTTGATCGGGTGCAGCATGAACGACTCGTCTCTGAGTTGCACTCCCTTGGTATCTCATCTAGTGCTCTACAATGGTTTTGTAGCTATCTGACTGAAAGAAGTCAACAAGTCCGAATTGCAAACTCAGTCTCCTCGTCAGTGCATTGTTCCCGTGGTGTGCCACAGGGCAGTGTACTTGGTCCCTTGCTGTTTGTTCTATACACGCGCCACTTAGATGCCATCCTGCCTGAACAAGTCATCCACCAAGAGTTTGCAGATGACATCATACTAGAGTTCTCCGACAGCGATCTGAACACTGTGTGCCGACAGCTTAGTGCAGCTGCCACTTCTGTATCACGTTGGCTTGCTGAAATTGGGCTGTTGCTCAATGCGAAGAAGACGCAAGTCATGGTCATCCAGCCCCGTGGACAGAGAGCTGCCATTCCTGATGTATTCTGTGGTCAGGACGCACTCAAGGTTACCCCTACTTCCAAGTACCTTGGGGTGGTCATTGATTGCGAACTGTCATGGAAGCAGCATGTGGACAACGTGACTAAGCGAACTGCCCAGACCATTGGTCAGCTCTGGCGCCATGGTCGTGCTCTAAGTTTATCAGCCAGACGGTCGTGGTTCATTAGCATGATCAGCAGCCATCTCTGCTATGCGTCTACGGCTTTCTATCCTTGCCTCACAGTGCAGTTGTTGGATCGCTTGGTCAAGATTTTCAAATCTGGAATTCGCGCCGTTTTCCAGGTGCCTTTTACTACCCCATCATCCCCTCTTCTCTGTCGACTTGATCTTCTTACTCTTACTCAGATATATAAGCAAAAATTATTATTTTTTGTTCACAGATGTCTTGGTACTGAAATGATCAGTAGTCTTTTCAGCACTTTCTTTGATTTAGTCAATGGTCGTGCCACGCGGGGTCAGGCTTCACGTCTGCTTCGTGTCCCGTTTTTGCCGGGTCCTTCCGGTCGATCCACTGTTCAGTTCATTGGTAGTGTGTACTGGAACTGCCTGCCGCCTGATGTCCGCTCCATCACCATTCCTTCTGCATTTAAGAAAGCAATTACAAACGATATCTTAAACTCTCTTACCCTCTCCTAAGATCTCAAAGACGCATAACTGTCAACATTCCCTCAACCCTGGAACCTTTCCATCCGTTGCATTATTTTCATGAAAAATTCATCAAATTCAAATTCGTTACTTGTAGTACTCCCTCATTGATTTGTTTCAGTCTTCTCTTTGTGCCTTGTTCATGATTGTATTTTCCTCTTCCTCCTTTTCTTATATCACCACCTTCATCATTTTGCGAGAACTGTGGAAATACGCCCAGTGAGAAGGCAGATTTTGCCTGTGCTTCTGGTGAAGTAAAATAAAGCTAAACAACAAACAAACAAACTCCGACGTCTTTCATTTCAGAGCCACGTGGGCAACACCGCCACCTTCGATACCACGACAAAATTTTCAAGTACGAGGTATGTGTGTCACACTAACAGCAAACAAAAATCCTTCCACTCCTTCGTAATCACAAATAAAACAAAGAGCTGGAGCTTCGTGGAGGAAGTACCAGTGCGATAAACTGCTGTCGACTTTTGTTTGTTTTGTCCCTTTTCTTTTGGCGTTCTCATTGTGTACAACGTGCACGTCAGTGTCCGAGTTTGGAAGGCAAGCGTGCACCGTACATCGAACAGTTGGCTCGATCGACCAGCACACGGACTGGACTTCGTTTTTGACGATGAATGTACGCGTGCAGGTCAAGTCCGGCGTGACGTCACTCGGTACTTCGGGACAATTTTGGGGACCTTCTTTTCCAGTTTTCACCCACTTCCAATCATCGCAGAGAAAAACGAATAACACCATCGTGATCAGGAGCCAAAGAACTGTAAGATAAGACAAAGAAAATTGTTGGTGACAGTTCCCCTTCAAATAAACTTCTACAACAACAACATCCCACTATGCCTGTCTGCTGGTGATCGTATTATGTACTCTTGTTCCCAACCCACGCTTTATACGAATGAACCTGACAGGTTACTAGTACTGTAAAATCCCGCCAGAGTGCCCCGTCTCTCCTATCCGCCCCTCCCTGACTTCTTGTCAGGGACGTGATTGATTGTATCCTCGTATGACTCTGTCACAGTCTGTGATGCCGTACTGTACTGCAGACGCGTGCTCGACCCCGTTGGAAGTGTACGCAACAGTGCCCACCCTCTTGACCGAGGATCGCACAAACCCTGAGTTTTGACGGGTCTCTACGACAATTGGCTCTTGACCTTTGGTCGGTGTACGAGATGCACGAACAGTTTTCGTAGGGTGAGTACTTTTTCATGTAGCACTGAATGCGGCAAGTAGGACTCGCCCATCCGCCCCTCCCCACCTGAAGCGTTAAGGAGGTAGGGGCCACTAGGGGCGCTCTGGCGGGATTTTAGTTGATATCACGTGACTTACCCACGGGGGTCAGCATGGTCTGCGGACCTGTGCCTGCACGGGATTACAATGGAGAAAAACAAGAACGAGGATCTGCAAAAAGTATTTCTTTAACTATAACTACAGTCCATTTCAAAACTATAGACGCGTACCTAGGCAAAAACCGTTATGCCAGCATCTATACCACATAAAATCTGTGATCACTTTGTGCATAAACCTTTCCAAATTGGGCGTCTGTTATCCAATCGTTTAGATACTACAATAGAGTAATTGTGGAGCGATCCGAAAACTATTCTCAAAAAGTTCCAGCCAAATTTGAAATATTTCAAAAACCCTACGCGTCTATAGTTTTGAAATGCACTGTATACAGCTCTCCTACAAGTTCCCATCCATGATTTGGGGTCACAGGATATGGGCTACAGTTTAGAAAGTAGACCCCCCCCCCCAACACCATAACAAACGTATAAATGTAATACATGTACTCGATTATAGGATGACTGAACGGTTTCATCTTGTTTCAAGAATCGTCAGAGTGAGGGAAATGAGTAACGAAAACTAAATTAATAAATAGCACGGCCAACTTAAAGAATTCTATAACACATGTGGACCCAATTATGAATAACGCCGCTGGGAGCCCAGTGATGGGCAAGTTGAAGTATAAATGCAACCGTGTGTGTGTAGTTATACAGCAATGACACAACCAAGTCCTTTTTCTGACTCAGATTTGCGTGTTAATCTTACGCTTTCTGATGAGTTTATAGAAAAGAACGAGTCCATTTCTGATGATTGTTTCATGCAACCAAGTAGACAGGAAAAAGACAGATTTTCACGCTCAACTCCGTGAACTTACCTGTGATAGATGCATATGTACCAATACACCCGGTTCCAAAACACGTTCCATCTGCAAAACAAACGAGCGAAATCGAGAATCTCCACTATCAGGTTGATCCTCATCATTGCAATCAATTATCAAAGAATTTAATAAGCGAATTGGAGACCATATTTTCATCAAGGCTATGAAACACACCGTCATCATCACCAACCACCCATCACTGCGAGGATGTCTCATGTTGAGTAACCAGAACGTTTCCAATAATGCACGACTCTGACCAGCGGTACCGACATTCTACAACTACCTGCAAATCGGCTCTAGCACGTCTTGGATGCCCACTCTTTGGTCCTTTTTCTTCCTTTTATTATTATTATTCAAAGGATCAGTCGGGGAAGTGAACTGCCTGAAAAGAGAAAAAAACGCCAGACCCACCAGGACTCGAACCTGGTACCCTGCTTGTCATGAGCATGCTAGGTTCAGCCTGGTCCCATAGCTCAGTGGTTAGAGCATTGCTCATGACAAGCAGGGTCCCTTTTCGAGTCCTGGTGGGTCTGGCGTTTTTTACTCTTTTCAGGCAGTTCACTTCCCCGACTGATCCTTTGAATTTGAAGTTCTCCCAATCCTTTCCAAATTATTATTATTATTATTGTAGAAAGGAAAAGGACATAAGGATACTCTTTGGAATACATGGCCGCAGTATACCAGCACTCCATCACTGTAACTGGATATTATACAGTCGGAAAGTGCAATAACTAGGCACACAACTGACAAGAGTACTGAGACATTCGATTATTATTTTTTTCCCGTTTGTCTCTTTCCCTCAAACTAGTGAAGATTATTATTATTATTATTATTATTATTATTATTAGTGGGAAAATACGGAACTAAGGATACAACCAAAGAAACTGAAGTTAAGTACTGTAAATAGACAGGTGTTAGAAATAACAACAAAATACAAGTGCAATAAAACCACTAGAGGAAACGCAAAAAGGTAACAGATTACGTAACCAAAGGCGAGAAGGCACTAAACGAAGTGTCAACCTACGAATACAACTTCAGTGCAACAACGTGCTCCTTCTGCTTACACAAAACAGGCTTATGAATACGTATACAAATTATTGGTTTTATTGCACTTGTATCTTGTTGTTATTTCTAACACCTTTCTATTTACAGTACTTAACTCAGTTTCTTTGGTTGTATCCTTAGTTCCGTATTTTCCCACTAATGATAGGAATAAGAAAATCGATTATGGGTTTTCAATAATATTTTTATTATTATTATTCAAAGGATCAGTCGGGTAAGTGAAAAGAGAAAAAAACGCCAGACCCACCAGGTTTTTTTTCTCTTTTCAGGCAGTTCACTTCCCCGACTGATCCTTTGAATTTGAAGTTCTCCCAATCCTTTCCAAATTATTATTATTTTTAAATTTTGAATATTTTAATTCATCCTGGGCTCCCCATCCGAGTCTATCGATAAACATTTTGTGGGACAATGTACCTAGAGTGAAGAGTCGACGAGGAGACGAGTAGAATATAACACTTGAGGTTTTGGAAAGGCCAAAAAACTAAATACTAGTAGGCTTGTTTAGGGTCGGCAAACCCTAAAAAAAAGAAAAAGAGAGACTTGGTCTGTCGGAATGACACTTTTTTTGGATAGTTTTTTAGTTCATCAATCGTTGTGTTATTGATAGACAAGAGCACATTGTCATGTACATTTACATGCATCATGGTAAGGATCAATGTCACAGTTCACTGATTGTTCTTGTACAGCAGTATTCCTGTCGTCCTTGATCCTGAGAAATCAAGCAGAAATCAAGCAAAAAGTTCGAGTGCTTGCCGTTCGTTTGGACCCCTGAGTTGTTCGAGCCGACTGCTGAGAATCTCTGCTATCTCTGAGGTATTTCGATTGTTGAATTCGGTTGAGATTTGCTGAGTTAAAACTCGTTGACTGCAATTGCACACATGGCATTGTTACCGGTCGTATACATTTGGGACCAAACAAAGTTTCAGAATCTGGGGACCAATGGCCTGGTTGGCCTACCCGAAACAAGGTCATTATTATTAAAATAAAATTTTGGCCAAATGGAAAATGTTCAGCAGACTTCAGCAGTCTAGGGTAGTGTGACCAGCTGTTCCTTCCAGATGCGCCTGCGCAAGTCGAACTCAGCCCAAGCAGAAAACGGATTTTTGGTATGATCCCACCCCCCCCCCCTCACCACCGAACACCGGCAGATGTCAGACAGAAGTGGCCATTTTTAATCGCATGACCACAGAGCAGAAATACCAATAAATATTTTTTGTTCGCGGGCTGAGGGAATGGATAATACATGTGCATACATTATACAACACAATAATAGAAAAGCTGACAGGATCGCTTTTCTAAATATACATGTACTGTAGAAGTACAAATATTACACAGCGATGAATCAAACAAGTCTCATTCCGCTGTAACTCCGAGTTTCGTGTCAAAACACTTCATCAGACAGCATATGACCAAGACTAACAATCGCTGTCGAAGTACATGTACATTGCACTTCTACTTACCTGCAGATGTAGCGCCAATGAGGAAGGCTAGAACTAGAAGAAAACTTAGCAATGGAGCCATTCTATCCGATTGCGTGAGAGATGGGAAGGAAGGCAATTCAAGGAAGTAGACGCCGTCTGCTTCTACTGTTGTTGTTGCTGCTACTCGTATAAAAATGAAACCCTGGGTGCACGTGCAATGCTACTTGTGCATAGGATGTCGCATGTGTCGCAAGTCGCATGTTGTTGTTGTAGAGGTTTACAGCATGTCGCGTCGCAAGATGTTGTATTGTGAATCGGAAAGGAAGGAGCAGTAGCATAATCCCTGGTTTCAGCCCATCAGAGTTCAGCATCCCTCCCTTGGCGTTAGCCGTATCGTGTACCGTATCGTGCGTATTGCATACATGTATTTGCATGCAGGGGGCGGTGGGGGGGGGGGGGGGGGTCTCGGGTTGGTTGACATGCATCGCACCCTGGTGCGCGGCCTTTATGTATGTTTGTTTGCACTTATTTCTGATTTCTACGAGTTGACGCGGCTCTTTGGAATACATGGCCGCAGTATACGAGCACTATCTGCATTGTGTACAAGACTGCGACTCTGCCAAACGGGTTCATTGCTGAAGTCAGGCGCAATGCAGTTCGTACTCCGCCTTGCAACAAGCTGTCAACTTCAAAACTGGCATTGTACTACTCCCGGCTCCTTGCCCCCCCCCCCCCGGCCAATGCACTTGTTGGTACTTCTCCTTAGTCCATTTATTTGAAAAAGATTAGCAATCAGGTTATGGTCTTCAAAGTCTGAAGATAAGGGAAATTCGGACAACAAAATACATACATGTACATCAACGTCTGTAGGGCCTTCCCTATCAAAATAATAAATTCTACTACTGTATAAGCAGAAAATTTCGTCGGTCAATAATTTCGTCCAACTCCAAAGAAAGGGAGTTCGTCCGGTTGTAAATTTCGTCCATGGATCATAAGAGTGTATTGAAAAGCTGGACAAATTAATATTATAATAGCTATAAAGAGAACAAATTCTGCTGTCATCGCCACACTACAACAAAGTCATGGAGGTTTACCAAAATCGATTTTCTTGTCACAATCATCAGTGGAAATCCGTGACTAAGGTTGCGTTCTTAAATTCTCCAGCTTCTAGGAGAAGAAGAAAAGAGAAGTCGAAGAAACTGGGATTCTTCAAGAACGGGTCTCGAAGAATTCGGAGATATTTTGCAGATGTCAAGCAAAATGGAGCGCCAAAGGGGCCGTGATCTTGAGTGCCACGAAAATAGCATGCGCTGTGCGTATGCGAAAAGAGAAATGCGTACACTCATGATCAACACGTGGCTTTTAGCCTAGTTCGCATGCGCTGATCCCAAACCGCGGGAATCTCCGAGTTTCAACCACCTCTGAAGCTTGGAGAGCTTCGAGAGCTTTGGAGAGCCTCCTAAAATTCGGAGAGGATATAAGAACAGCTCTCGAACTTTTAGGAGAGTCTCCAACTTTTCCGAGAGGATTTAAGAACGCACCCTAAAGAATAACCATAATGTGTTAGGCCTCGGTCACACTACGGCAGTTTGAAGCTGGACGCAGCGTCAAGCCGCAGCACTTGACGGAGACGCGGGGTCACACAGTGTTTTGTTTTTTTTGCAGCTCATGACTGCCGCGGCCTGACGCATTTGTCTACGTCACAAAACCACCAGGAAAACTCAATGACGACACGGATTCCCACGGAAACCGGCCTTTTGCTTATTATACAAAAAAATTGTCGGACAAAGTTTTCGAATTTTTCATTGATTTTTGATTACAAGAAGACGAAAGGTCCACGCGTGCACGATCGTTGTTGTTTCTTTCCGAATTTGAAGCCATTTTCAGTTGTAGTGTCATGGATCAGGCAAGAAAAGTCCGCATCGCAGCTGTGTTTCTCCTGACTTCGTCATACTGGTTGTCCTTTTTGGGGCTCTTGACGACAACACAACACTCACAAGTCAACAGGCTCCAGTTGGCCGATGACCCACTCAAACAACTGGTCCTTTCTCGACATCATTTTCTTCTCAGAAAAACGCCTCGCTCTTCCGCCAGGTTCGGAGCAGAGCAGCCTCGGCCTCGTAGGTCCACGGACTCATCTCGAACAAAAAGAGGGAACAAAACAAACCTTGAAGAGACGAATGTCGAATAACTGCTCAACTCAAGCAAAGTGTCTTGAAACTAATTTTACTTGAAAGACACTGTTTTTCCGCCAAGCGTCACTCCCATCAGCGGCAACGCAGCCGATTTCCCCACGTCAGACGCAGCAGCGTCTGACGCTCAAACTTCCCGCGTTGCGTCAGTTGCCATGGAAAAGTTCATGATTCTGACGCTGACGCAGCATTTTTTGCCGTAGTGTGACCGAGGCCTTACGAGAACAAAACAAAGTGCTAAAATAGAATGAGGGAAGGTGAGACAATAGAAGTGAAGTGAGAGCTAAGTGCAACAGGGGTGAGGAACTAATTGCAACGCTAGAACTGTGTAGTGAGACAAACAATCATGCTGTGCACCTACGAAAACAATCGCAACTACATGTTTCTTCTGCTTACAAAGCTTCCCTCATTCTATTTTAGCACTTTGTTTTGTTCTCGTAACACATTATTGAATGTATGTAAATCATTGATTTAGCATGGTTATTCTTTAGTCACGGATTACCACTGATGATTGTGACAAGAAAATCGATTTTGGTAAACCTCCATGACTTTGTTGTACTGTGGCGATGACAGCAGAATTTGTTCTCTTTATAGCTATTATAAAATTGTTGTCTCCGCGTCGATTATTTACAAATTAATATTAGTCCAGCATTTAATTTAGTCCAACAGCTCGTTGGACGAAAAAGACAAAATTAAATTCCAGACGAATAGTTCTGCTTGTACAGTACGAACTACGGTAAAATCCCGCCAGAGCGCCCCGTCTCTCCCATCCGCCCCTCCCTGACTTCTTGTCAGGGACGTGATTTCTCGTATCTCGGTCGCAGTCTGTGATGCCGTACTGTACTGCAGACGCGCGTGCTCAATAGGCCTAGCCCAAATTTGCCGGCAATTCTTCCAGCAAAACATCGAATTTTCCAACGAAAAGAAATTGCTGGCAAATTCCGAGCAAAATATCGAATTTACAGAGGATCCGGGTGTGTTTTGGTAATTTTATTTGAATTTCGTTGGTTTTGTAGCGACCCGACTCACTGAGTATTACGTCATTCTACATACGCATGCGCAAGAAATAAAATCATTCTCTTTGGTCACAACTTCTTCGTTGTCCGGTTGGCCAAAGTAGCCGTCGTCTAGGGCCCGACGTAAAACCCTAAATTGGTGACCCCTGACGCTGCGCTCTTCGGAGTTTTGAGCATGCCATCCCTGCGCTCGGCCCGCCGCAGTTTCCTGCTCGCCTCAACTCTCGGGAACCCGTCAATCGCCGGCTGTTGACGTAAAACTTGAGCCTCACCACCACTCGTCACTGGATCCGCCTCGGAGCTGCTGTGGCCCCTGCCACCCTCCCCGGCCCACCTGGATACCCCGCTATCCTGCCACGGCATCGTCCAGTCGTCGTCGTCGTCCGTATTCGTCTTGGCCTCAAGCTGGAAATCGGCCACCTCCACCAACCAGTACCCGTCGTACCAGCTCACTCACTGTGCACGCACGCAGGCACACGCCCGGCACCGGACCCCATGGAGCTGCGCTCGCCTCCATCTGTCCCCGCCTCAGTCGGCACGCCTCGCCCCAGTGCAGCGCTCCTGCTGGTATTCCGCCAAGCCTGCAACATGCAGCCGCCTCTGACATGATAATACTCCTCTGTCACGCGTACATTTCCTTTCTTTCCGCCTCCCACACGATAACATTCCTCTGTCACGCGTACATTTCCTCTTTTCTTTCTTTCTGCCTCTGACATGCTCTCCACCTCTGTCACGTTAACACACCTCTGACATGTTAACCTGCCTCTGTCATGCATCTCTCTCATTTCCGCTTTCTGCAATTTTGATTTTGTTTCGGCCTTTGTTGCCACGTCTCAAACAAATTTCATACACGCAGCGCTCTTGCCTGTACATATGTATCATATTATTATATTTTTGCCTTTCCGCCTTGTACATGCTGCGCTTTCCTTTCTCTTCTCTTTCTTGTTTCTTGTTTATCGTGCTTCGCTCCTCCCGACCTCACCACTGGCGGGGGAGTACTGTAGCGTCCCGACTCACTGAGTATTACGTCATTCTACATACGCATGCACAAGAAATAAAATCATTCTCTTTGGTCACAACTTCTTCGTTGTCCGGTTGGCCAAAGTAGCCGTCGTCTAGGGCCCGACGTAAAACCCTAAAGTTTCATCGGGCCAACGTCGTGCTGAAATAGCTCGTGCATGTTGTCAGGGGTACATAAATTTGAAATCATGCTCCAAAATCCGTAATACTGACACCATTATAAGTTTGCTTTCCTCATCAGAGTCACCATCCACTTTTACCAAAGTAGACGGTTCATTCGAAGCCATTTTTGCCACAAAGCAGGAGCAAAATGGAGCAAAATATCGGAAACGAAAGGCAATGCCAAGCAAAATATGGAAAGTGATCGGGCAAAATTTGCCGCCAAAATATCGAAGCGCCCCGAGCAAATTTGGGCTAGGCCTAGTGCTCAACCCCGTTGGAAGTGTACGCAACAGTGCCCACCCGGTACCCTGGTACCCTCTTGACCAGGGATCGTACAAACCCGAGTTTTGACGGGTCTGTACCACCAAGAGTACATAACTCTTGGTACGACTCGTGGCTCTTGACCTTTGGTCGGTGTACACTGGTACGAGACGCACGAACAGTTTTCGTAGGGTGAGTACTTTTTCATGTAGCACTGAATGCGGCAAGTAGGGCTGCATTCGATTGTAGAAACTGGATCCCGATCCCCGCCGACCAGATCACTTCAATCTGACGGATACAATCGAATGTGCACAACCGATGATCCGTTTCAAGGCCTTAGCAACCGCGTTGCTACAGCTCATCCCGTAGTATCTGTACGCGTTGTGGTAAACTCTTGGCCTAGTGTACGCATATTGCGAGTTTTGAGTAGATACTAGTCGTACTATCGA